TATCACATGCATTGGGTCTGGTACTCTGTGAAGTAGTCCCCACAAGGCATGGACAAACTAAGAATTGTGCAATATGTAGAAACTATGTCACCTATGGAACAATTGGGGAAATAAATTTCATGTGCCTGGTGAAGAAAGCTAAGGACACTGGAAAGCAGCCACATAGAGGGAGATAGATATAGACCTTGTTCAGAGATCAAAAACAGGTCCAGTGTGTGGAAATTGTGAATAATAGCAGGGAAGAAATTTAAAGCACGGTTTCCCAAACAGCATTCCATGAAACATATAGAGGCAATTCAAGAAAAGGGGGATTTGTGGTCAAAAATGTTTGGAAGATGCAGAGTTTAAAAGTCTTATTTCTGCAGAACTTATCAGTGCCTTTATCTCAGTAAAGTATATTGAGATAGGAAGATATAAGAAATTTTTCATGCAGTAAACACATTTATTGTGGTTACAAAGTATTTAAGTGACTACAAAGTGTCAGGCTTTGTCATAGGCCTTGGGGACAAAGAAACGAACAAAAGAGACAAAATTAAGGTAAGGAGAAATGGCAGTAAACAAATAATGGATCTACATTTTCTGAACTGATTGGTCCACAGAACCATTTTGTAATGAAGCTTCTCATCATTCTTGTGTTTCTTGAAACACATTTTTGAGAAAGAGTGAATTAGGAGGTTGTAACAATTAATTAGATCACTCCAGTACTGTAACTATGTAAGCTGATTTGCAGTGTCTATAAGGATGCTTTACAGGGTCTTTTGAGATTTGAGTATATGATCCCTAAGACCTAAAATGTTTTTGACTCAATAAAACTGATGTTTTTAGACAATACACCTTCATCCTGCAATCTTGCTGGGAAGAATTATTTGCCGTGACAAACTGGTGAATGAATACCAAATTTTATGACCACCCATGAAATGACAGGATCTGCAAGAAAAGTAGGATTTTACTAGGAACACAGATAAAAGACAAGTCCTAAAGAAGAGTGTTATCATAAACGAAATGATGAGCTTAAGAGGATTTGTGACTTCCTCCAGCCTGTTCAAATGCAATTTACAAAGGGCTACCTGACCCTCTCATTATAATTTTCACCAGAAACCCCAAACTGTCAAGCATCAGAGACTCAGCTCAGATCATTTGCACTTTGATCTGTCTCAAGCACCTGTGAGGTGAGGGAGGAAACATTTACGGGAATACCTGAGGAGAGCACCAATCTCCATTAGGATAAATCTACTACGGTTTTCAACATCTTTTTGGGAAAAACTCAGTCGTGAGAGGCCATCTCAGCTGCAAACTCTGCCATTTCTGCTGCTCCAACCTGACCTCCCAAATATCTAAGCACAAGCTAAAGTAAATAAATAGTATTATTTATTTATAACATCATTTATAACATTATATTATATTGCTGCTTCAATCTGACATCTCAAATATCAAAAACACAAGCTAAGTATACACATACATATATTATATATAAATACAATATATACTTCAATCATACATTGAAGCATACATTCAAATATATGTATTCAATTATATATATATTATATTATAGTCAACTATTATGGCATTTTCCATTTTCTTCTGTTTCATCCATTTGTTTTTCCTATTCTCTAGCCAATTGTTTAAGGTGTTTATGTGAAAGAACCGTCTCAACATTTTGGAGGTCAATTTAATACTGGAATCATTATTTGGAAGCTTATGCTATTTTTAAACATGATCTCAGTCTAGCTCACACTGGTGCTGTAAGTCTTAAAAAGAGAAAGCCTTATTCTATTAAAAATAGCTCATTCCAGTATGACTCTAAGGACTCCAAATAGACAAATAAGGCAAGTTATACCTGTCTCCACTACTGACTACAAATGAATCACTGTGAATATATCAGTGTATGGATTTTTTATGTTGGTAACATTATCCCACTGAAGGTGACGTCTTAGTGGTCATTACGAATGACTAATGAGATAGAGGGGTATCACAGATGATCCCAAATCATAGTCACCCCCAAAGACAGGTATGCTTTGCAGTGTACTGGGAATTAAATGAAAGCAGATGATTTCCTGATGTCCCTTTCTAGTTTCAATTTGCTTGCCATCTTGAGTTAATGATGGTCTTCCCTTAAGCACATATACCCCTAAGAAGTGAGGTAGGTGCTAGAGAGGTTGCTGGCCAAACAGCACATGTAATTGTCACATGTAATTGACAGAGGAAATTATCAGAAAAAAAAAATACCACTGAAAATTGACTACCTGCATAAAATGCTAGGAAAACACTTGCAAAGAATGAAAATAACTAGATGGGCAAGAAAAGAATTCTCCACCACATTGCTGACATTTTGATGAAAGGAGCTCCCTCCCAACTATTACCCAAAACTTGGTGGGGGTGATGAAAGAAAGAAGAATGACTCTAAATTTCTCTCTCATTTGAAGCAACCACATAGACAGCCAATAGAATGTGGAGAGGAACAGGGGAGCTTCGAAAGGAGGAGATTCCATTGGTCTCTGTCCTACAGAAGTGGCCAATGGCAGCAGAATCCTTCTCTGAATGGACGGCTGAATACAGCACAGGCAACCAGGAAGCAATGTCTATTCCTAATTTCCAAATGTCCTCTACATACCAGTATCGGTTCCTGCTAACGTTTTCACCAGTTTACATCAATAGGAGAAAAATAAGAACAAAGTAGATAGTTATTTATTAAACTAAATGCATTCAATGTAAAGGACTGTCTTTTATTCTGAGATTGCATCATTCCTGTTGAGGAAAAAAAAAAATGCCCTTTCTTCTATTACATAATGGTCACATTAAAGAGCTGTAGTTCCTACTGCTGTTGCTACTGCTACTACTGCTGCTGCTGCTACTGTAATTTAAACAAATTAGTCCCCAAACTATTTTTTGAAACTTCCCTCCTCTGTGAAATCCAAAAGTCTTAGAGTCACTGAAGGCATAAGGCACTGGTAGAGTGGATAAGCTCAATTTAGTTCATAGAAGGAAAACCATATACAAATAAAAATATCAGACAGTGAGAGATGTCTAACTATGAATGTGCTTAGATGTAGCAGATTTCATCTCCAGCTGTTAGACCCAGTTCCAAGCACTTACAAGGGCACCCTGGCATCCCAAGGTCAGAATGTATGGTCAGACAAGGACAGCTGGACTGTCATTTCTATCTCCTCTCCAAGATGGAAAATGGAGTTTTGTCACGTTTCATGCCATATGAAAAAAACTTCTGCCCAAAAAAACCAATGGGAAATCCACCAAGTGGCCAACAGTTCAGCTTCCTTTGCTTTCTAGGATACTGTACTAATGGCATTTAATTCCAGGGGCTAAACTCTCTGGCCCCACATGTATCCTGCTGTTCCATTATCTGGAACATTGGTTCTTGCTTCCTTGTCTCTGCTCCAGCCCTTCTCCTAACATGCCTCCCCCTAACATCTATTTTTTTCGCTGTAGTAGTCTCCTTAGTACTCAGAGCTGAAATTACATGCTTCAGTGCCCTAAGCGCATATATTTTGCTTTCTCATGTTAGCACATGCAGCTCTATTCTTTATTCTAGGGCTGGAGAAGAGGGTTTCAGTAAATTCTAGCCATCATGAGCCCTGCTATAGAACGCTTTAGAGGCTTTGAATTTATGTTACATTGATTATCTTCATGAAGGTTAAAATGAAGGGTTCAACAACACCATAGGGAGAATCCTTATGGGGTGGCGTGGATGGCTTCACAGAGGTCGAAGCTCCTGACTCCAGCTGTGGTCCTGGAGTCAGCAGATCTGGCTTGGCGGCAAATGGGCAAGTCTCTCTGAGGCTCATCGATATCTGAAGGTTTGGCAAGAGGATCTGCAAGGTCCTATGTCACCTCTCACAGGCTGCCATTTGATGACTCTATAATCTTATCTTCGTGTAGCCTGTGTTCTAAACATAGCCAAGCTGAGAAGCTGGCAGAGAAAAGCAAATGCAGTGAGTGTGTATAGAGGCAGAGAATTTTCACTTCTTTACTCACTCTACAGATGCGTGGCATCCTCTACTTTCCCTCAAGAAAATCTCTTGGAAGGATGGGTTGAGCTTCCTTATCCCTATATCCCTTCAGGTCCGACTCACACTTTTTTTTTTTTTTAATCTAAGAAGCTGCCTTAAATTGGTGCTGTGAGTGAACACTGCATTTGGCTAGATCCAGCCAGTTCATCTTATCATGGCTGCTAAATCACCAGGAGAAAAGGTCTCCTGCCAAACCTGGTGTGTCTTTGTAAGCCAATGCAGTTTCTGCATCCATGTATCCATATCCAGTGACCAACCATGGTGGTTATGCCTTTCCCCGTCTCGTGCTGTGTAACCCTGTGAAATGGTGGGAGGCTGCAACTTACTTGCATTTTTTACCCAAAAGAAATTACACACATATATCTATATGAATATATAGATATATAATGGCCTATGCTGAGGGAGGGACATATTAACAAAGTAAAAAATGTAACAATCTTTATCAAGTTTAAGGAGCAGATCCTGGCACATTTGGCTGTCTTTCTATGAGTGATGCTAAAAAAAAAAAAAAATGCAAGCCGTAAGACCCCAAGACTCTCCACCACCATTAAATGAAAGGTCACACGAAAATGTGGAATCTACTCAGTTGGAGATGATCATTTTTGTGGACTTTTAATATATATTTACTTTCCGTTATTTTTTTTGGTTCTCTTTCTCTCATACCCAGGTTGTGCCTGGTTAGAGAAAGAGTCTTGATTAACATTTCTAAGCCAACAACTCTCCAAATACCTCAACCAAAGGAATTCAGTGTGCCTACATAGAGAAAAGGGAAGTGTCCCTCTGGATGTGATACTTTGCCAGGTTGTATTTCTCTGCACCAAATGCTATCAGATCAACTTCTGTAGGTTTCACTGAATACAACTGCATGGAATGCTATTACTGTTTGCAATGCAACATGATCTAAAAACATTGCATTTCTTTTTTATCTAAAGGGGACTAGTAGGTTTATTGTGTTTGCATGTGCTTTCCCCCTAGACTCTGGCTGCCCTAACAAGAAATTCAATAAATCTGCTTCCAAACCATCTTGCACAAGCTTTGCATGTCCAGTCTGGGCCTGAGGAAATTAACAAGAGAATAGAACATACCATCGACTTGCGGAGTGGCGATAAATTGAGAAGAGAGCATATCAAGCCATTCTCACTGATGTTTAAAGACTCCAGCCTGGAGCACAAGGTAGAGCTGGGTCTACACAGTGGCTCTTTTTCTGAGTTAATTGTGGTAAATGTTCACGGGACTGGAGAGAGAGCCCAGGGGCTGTGGTTTTGGTTTCTTTATTTGTTTGTTTGCTTTGGTTTGGTTTGGTTTGGTAGTGTCTTCTATTTTTCTCCTTGAAAATCATGAGTAGACTGAAGGCCATGAAAGGAGATGCAAGTTAGATTAAGAGAGCATCGGCTTGCTCTTTAAGGAAAAGAGGACTCAAAGAACAAAACCTCCTTTAACTCAGTAAGCATCAAAAGAGTTTCTTCCACTTTGAGATTATTAAGCCAAGTGGCATTAACAGCCACTTACCTTTGCTTTTAGATGAATTCACATCAGCTGCAACCATTTTAACACAATAATGAAGGCACCCAATAACTTGATGTAAGCATCAGTGATAAACACTGTCTTTCTTAGACTTTAGATATCTATTCTCCCGTTTTCCCAGTTGTCTGCTGCCTCACAGTCCTCTGACCTAGGCCTAGTAGAAAGAAGATGGGTTGTGGATTCGGAGTCAAATTTGAATTCCACCTCTGCCACTTTCTTGCTGTGTGACCTTAGATAAGTAAAGTAACCTCTCCAAGCATGAGTTCCTCTCTGTACAATGAGGAAAATGAATGCACCTACCTCACAGTTAATATGGAAGTCTTCAGGGCAATACCTTGATTAGGTAAAGTGTTCAAGGATGGCAGCTATCATCATATTAATGATGACTTTTACATTCCCCTCCCCCACCTCAGCTTTGAACTGGAGAGGGGAGTGGGCAGATGGGGTGCCGACCCTGCTTAACTGGGTTGCTCCTTTGCGCTGATGGAAGCTGACAGACCTTCCTTGACTGAGCACAAGAGGTGCCTGGCATCTGCAGGAGCCTCAGGCAGGAACAGCAGGGAATCTACAAGCAAATTTCTGGAGTTTGATTCAATACTCTGTAAAGCTCCAGTGAGCAATTTTTTTGTAAGTTTGTTCAGCTGCCTGGGAGATTTGCTTTCCTTAGTTCAGAGAATTCACAATTCTGTGCACATACACCATTCCCAATGAGCTTCTTTGATAACTACCTCAGGATTGCAGACTCCAAAATTAATACCTTCACCTACAGTTCCCAATTTGAGATGGATTGTGTCTATGTACTAACAAAACAAAAGGAAAAGAAACATTTTGCCTCCCTCAACCCCCCACAAAAAAACTAACAGACACACTTCTCTTATTCATCATACGATTAAGGGCTTAAGGACCAAAATAAATGCATTTTCTTTCCTGGTTACTGCATTGAAGAAGCTAGGATGAAGAGCTGATGGCTTTACAAAGAATCTTCTCAATTAGCTTGTGCAAATGCCTGTGTCCAGAGCTATACAAAACGCTTTTATTTATTTTTGCTAAAGACGTATTTATCTCACTAATAACCTAACCCCTGCATACTACAGATAGTTTCTAGTGTGTTTTATTTAATGGCATTCACATCTCATCTGCAGCCATCTGGTATTGGACCAGAAATGGACCTAAGGGAGGCACAGCATGCCTGAGGTTGATTTCTGTGACCAGGGAAGATTCTTCTAGAAGAGCCAAAGGACAGCACCCTGAACAAACATGGGACATGCCCATTGACAGTTTAGCCACAGACCACCTAACCTGTGCTAAGCATTACATGGGTTCCCCAGGGGTGACGGCAACAGGACACATCAGAAAACGATCACTTCTCTTCTGTCACAGAGATATTCTTCACTGAGTCTTGCTCTGAGATCATCTCTAGGGACTGTGTTACTGCTGAGCAGAGAATATATCACAAGTAACATTCATTGGGTATTTACCAAGTACCAGGCACTATTTCTAATCTGTCTGCATAAATCAACTGACAACAACAGTAATATAAAGTAGATGTTATTATGAACCTCATTTTGATGAAAGGAGACATGGAGAAATTATTATGAAGTTTTCCCAAAGTCCAACTGTCAGAAAGGGACTGGAATCTGTGCCCACCGTGATGCCATAGCCACTGCTCTTTTCTGTTGACTATGCTGCCTCTGCCAGGAGTTCCCAGGACTGGAGTTCCCAGGACTTGATTTCCCAGGGTTTCGTACGAAGAAGACAATCCTGTGCTGTCTTCATTTTCCTTTTGTCAAACTTTGGATGCAGTGGGAGGCATAGAGAGGGAGTTTACAGGGGAGGCTAAGTAGGAAAGGGTTCTAGAGCCATAACAAAATTAAAACAAGGCTTTCAAACACATAGGATTCCAGAATCAGAAAATAGCATTAATATGCAGTTCCTCTGTGCTTGCTGTTAGATATGTCAGTTTACTATTCCACTTACAGAAGAGAAAACTAAACTTCCAAGAGGTTAAGTAGAGATCTTAGATCTCAAAATCCAGCTACCATATTTCATTCACACTAAGGTGTCATCAACTGTGAGATGCTCTATTTTCTATACAGCACTCAGAAAGGAAAAAGAAACTCAATATGGGTTTCTAAGAGGAAACACACACTAATAAACTGGGCTTACACCCTCAGGGTAAGGATGTGGGGGCGCTGGGGCTGGTAGGACATCCCCCTTAGGCAAGGGCAGTGAGGAAACCCACATGCCTATATCCTGGTATTGATTAAATAAAGGGAAGAAGCTCCCCAAGAATTTAAACTCCAAAAATGGAATCTGCATAGGTTTGCTGCATGGATTTACACTTAGAATGTGGACCAAAAAAATATATATATTATCAGAGAATTTAATTTAAAATGATCCTGGGTTGATATTGCCACCTGGTGACCACAGAAGCAACTGCAAACCTCCCTGGAAGGAAGTCAAGATTTTAGGATTCCCTTGATAACAAGGTGCATGCTGATTTCAGAGATGTTAAAGTGCACATTTTAAGGAAAATTGTACATTTTTAGTAAGAATATATATCTTAGAATTTTAAAAATACATACAATATTTATAATTCTAAAGCCTCTTCTGTTCCCACTGCCCTACCCTTCTTCTTGGGAACAAGCCTGGACCATAAAAGGATGCTTTCTGAAAGGAAAAATGGAAATGGAAATAATTGTTCCTTTGCAATCTTTGTAGGAAAGAAAAGGCTTTATTCTGTTTGAACAATAAGAAGATACACGAATAAGGGAACCCGTTTGCCTTTCCACCTTTATGAGAACACTGAAATGTTCAAACACTGAAATGAACAAAGCTCCATTGAAATGTATAGAAATATCATTCAGGCATTCCTTGGTCACATTTGCCTATAAGAATTGGCATACCTATCCACAACACTATGTGAAACAGGAGTTTTATATACTTCATGGTACTGCATAAATACTTGTTGAATAAATAAGGAAATGAATAAAGACTCAGTTTAAGAAGGTTAGATAAGACTGCCTCACCCCCTGTAGCTGTTATCAGGATATTTTTTGTGAATCTAAGAGCCGAAAGGCATGTGTCAATTTTGATGTGACTCTTTTCAGTGGAGTCTCAGCAGAGAATAAAAGTTCTGTGTACTCCCTGCCGTGGAATTTCAAAGGTGGCTCACTCCCTGCTCCCTCACAGGAGTCTTTTGAGTTAAGCTTCAGAACAGTGTGCTCATGACTCATGTAGCTTAGCAAACGCATCTTTCCTTCTCTAGTCCTTGGATTCTTTATCTGTGAAAGGAGGACATTGGACAGCTCCTGACCACTTCAGTAGTTAATGCTATAAATCTATAAATTTCCTATGACCATGGTGGCGATATGTCCTGGTTTGCCTGGGAGAGTAGTCGATGCCTATTTTTACAATGTGAAATTAGTATCACCTCCCTTCACTCTCAAAAATCACCCAGTGTGGATGATATGTAACAGGTCATGTGACCCAAGGCTTGGGCCTCAGCCAGGTTAGAATTAGTGACTCAACATCTTCCTTCACTACCCAGCCAATCATCAGAAGTTTCTAAGCAGACCTCTGGATAGTGGAGAGGGGACCTATTCCAGTTGCCAAAGGCTGCCTTAAGCTCCTCCCACATTTCACAGATGAATCCTTTGCCCTTCTTTAGTCAGGCTAAATATTTCCTAAGTGGCCTGACAGATCTCATGGGCAAGCACAAATCAGAACTATGGTAAAGAGATGTAAAAAACATAATGTGTCTGTCAGATGCTACCAATCATATTGGTATTTCCTTATTAAGCATTCCTATTTGATATTTTCTTATTAATAGAAGAATGTATTTTCACTAATAAAAGTTGATACTAAGTATAAGGCAAAAAAGAAAAAAATGAAATCTGTTTGGATCTTTCAACCCAGGGTAACCACTGTTACCATTCTGGCATCTGTTATTCTAGTCTTACATGAATGTGAATCTATAGACTTATGTACACAACCGTATTTGTCCATTTTCATGCTGCTGGAAAAGACATACCTAAGATGGGGCAATTTACAAAAGAAAGAGGTTTATTGGACTTACAGTTCCACATGGCTGGGGAGGCCTCACAATCATGGTGGAAGGTGAAGGAGGAGCAAGTCACATCTTACGTGGCTGGCGTCAGGCAAAGAGAGAGCTTGTGCAGGGAAACTCCCATTTTAAAAACCATTATATCTCACGAGACCCATTCACTATCATAAGAACAGCACAGGAAAGACCCACCCCCATGATTCAGTCATCTCCCACTGGTCCCTCCCACAACATGTGGGAATTATGGGAGCTACAAGATGAGATTTGGGTGGGGACACAGAACCAAACCATATCAACAACTTTTATAAAAATAGACCATTGTATGCACAGGGCATTGTAACATAGTGCTAAGCATTTTTTGCTTGAGCTTTTTTCCCCATAATTAAATCTTCAATTACACAGTGATTTTAGTATTTACATACTATCTCATTGCATATTTTAACCATTTCAGGCTTTTTAAAAAGGTTTTTCACTGTTATAAATTATGAATTGTGTTGTAATCACTATTCTCATAATTAAGTTATGAATTTTTGCTTATTTATTTTTTAGGATAAAATCCTAGGGGTGGGTGAAAGAGAATTCA